ATATCACCAAATCACACACACAGAGTGCACGCACGTGATTTATTAGTCTATTAAAACTCAAAATGGAAGGCATTCTAAATTGTAGACGGCAAAAATGCTTCTGTACGCTTCTTATATTTATATAATTTAATATAGTTAACTTTATCTATAATCACACAAAGAGTACCATTTTTCTGCTGTAAATACATCTAAATGCTATTTCAGATGCAGATTCCAGAAATGTTTTCTTATGTTGGAATGAAAGACACTAAGTACCAGATGAAGTGCTTCTTATTCTTACCCAAAAATACAAAATGGAAGAAAGAGTTAAAACTGAACACAATCTTGCTATTTACGCTGTGTATGAACATTTTTTATATATATTTATTTGCTTCTTTCCCATTTTGCATTTACTTGTACTTTTATTTTCAATACTTAAGTACGTTTAAGATTTAAAAAATACTTTTCGTACTTAAGTACAATAAATATCACATACTTTAAGACTTTTACTCAAGTAATATTCTAAACGGTGACTTCAACTTCTACCAAAGTCATTTTCTGGTAGGATATCTGTACTTTTACTTGAGTATGACTTTCATGTACTTTATACACCACTGCCCGCTGTACATATATGACATAGTAACAGAAAGAACATTCAAATAAGTAAAACTAAGGGAAAAAGTAGAAAATATACAATAAATAATAATAATAATAATAATAATGTGGTATACATCAGAACAGAAGAGAACAGAAAACTTATGTATTATGTGTTTACGTATTATGCACTTACATATTGAACTTTCATTTATGTTTATTTCAGTTTTTGTTTGTCATTTTAGTACTTATTTCAGTAACATGTCCAATTTCAAATTTGAAACATGTCAAAGTTTTTTTTTTTAAATACATGACATTTTTTTTAATAGTTAGAATTGTAGTTAATTACAACACTGCAGATGCAAATAATTAAGTCAGCTTGTAGAATAATCTTCAAGTGTGATAAATAGCAGCTAACATTGTTGTGTCGGTAGGGCAGTGCTCTGGTTCCTGTGATTATAGCTCTGAGCCAGAGAGCTGGGTTTAGTGGGAAGGACACACATGTGCTGTTACTGTCATGTGGTTAAGCAGGCATGGGGTTGGGTATGCTGTAGAACATCCTTAAAACTATAAAAACACTATATATGAGCCAAAAAGAGTAGTTGGCCTTGAACAATACAATAATTTAGCTGCATGTAGGTCACAACTGAAGCACAGTGCAATACAGCTAAAGAAATAGTTTATTATATATTTTTTCAGGGAATTTAGTGAAGAGAATTGAGATTTAGGAGGAAAAAGTGCACAGAAAAGCAAAACGGAATAGTGTAGGATGATAAAACGAAGAGGAAAAAGTAAATTACCAAATGAGTCCCACTTACGATAGATGGTGTGGAGGTGGCAGTCTTGACGGCAGGGGCAGTATTCTCTGTATTCTTGCTCATCTTGTTGTCTAGGATGTTCTTCTTGACCACTTTGAGATCACGGTTCTTGCCTGGGATGTATCCATGTTTCAGGGATATCAGGACAGGTTCTCCGTTCTTCCCTTCAAACCATTCCTCGGCCTCCAGGGGGGCATCCGGACCCGCCGTGTCGGGGTAAAGGTCATCCTGGAACAAGTCCGACTAATGGAGGGAAGAGTGTTATTAGTTGTTAAGATATGCAGGATACGAATCATGCAAATCATTCAATCAATCATGCAAAAGTAGACGCAGATGCAGAGTTCAGTTGCATGGTGTCAAAGCTGTTTTTTGTAGTTATGGCTTTTGATCATTCTTTTGTTGTCCATGTATTTTTATATTTTTTGGAAACAATATTTATATTTTTCAATATATTATATACCATATATTACTACAGCATTCATAAGGTTGGGTTCATTAAGTTTTTAGAAAATAAATAAATTAATAATAAACTAATACAGCCAGGATGCATTAAATTGATCAAGTGACATTCATAATGTTACAAAATGT